ACAGACAGACAGACAGACAGACAGACAGACAGACAGACAGACAGACAGACAGACACACGTACAGACACATAGACAGACTCACAGACAGACACACAGACAAACAGTAAGTGACTGAGAGAAACTTTTTATGTTAAGTTTAATTCTATTTTCTTTGTGTGTTTGTCAGTATTGGGGATCGGAGAGACTGTCTGAGTGACACGTACTATGGATGCGCCAGCAGGTACTTGACTTTTTAAAATTAATCTGTGCATGTCGTTAAATATGAAGTAGCACGAAAATAGCCCAAGAGTAGAGCAAAAGTTTTCATTGTGTGTGTGTTTATTTTTTATATTGTATAATTATGTTGTACGTGTTTCTTGTGTCTGCATCTTAGAAACGGGTTGGATCAGACGGCATAGATTAGTTAAGAAAGTTTGCAGGTTTTGGGAACCTCGCGGGAGGTTGTACTTTGCATTATTCGTCTTTTGTTAGAGACCGGCTTCCTTGTGAGGAGGATGAGGTCTACCGCTTGTCCCATCTGTGGTTGGCGGGCGCTCTTGTGTGGTTTGCTTCTTCTTTCAAATCTTCAAATCAAACATCTATCGTTCTTATCTCTCCTTCTCTTTAATGTTAGCAGAGACCTAGCTATACATTGCTATGTCTCTGGTGTTAGTTACTCTGTTGTAACACCTCTAATCTTCGGCACTTATTGTGTTTCAAGTGTTGCGAAACTCTTACTAAAAAACTAAACTGAACCAAACCATAATGTCCTCTGTTCATTTTGTCGTCAGAGATGGGAACGAGATTTTTTTTTTCATTGTTTTGTTTAGTTTTCTTTCGCTCTCTATTTCGGTTGCCTTTGCCTTTATACGTGATGTCCCTCCATTTTGTCATTTTAGCCGAATTTGGGGCAGAAAGGTATACAAACTGGCATGAAAGGTAGACTGGCAGGCTGTGGGATAAACAGGTAGACAGAATATGGGTGGAGATGTGGCAGGGTGTCGTCTGCTCGGACTGATTGTAGATTGGATGAGATGAGGGGGATTGAAGACTTTTCCTTGGGTGACATTGGACAGGGATAAAAGGTGGAGGGAGAGAGAGAGAGGGAGAGAGAGGGATAAAGGGAGGGAGGGAGTGAGAGAGAGAGGGAAGGAGAAAGAGAGAGCGATAGATAGAGAGAGAGAGAGAGAGAGGGAAGGAGAAAGAGAGAGCGATAGATAGAGAGAGAGATGGGAGACAGACAGAAAGAGAGGGTGAGAGAGAAAGAGAGAGAGGATGAGAGAGATGGAAAGAAAAGAGAAAGAAAAAAAGAAAGAAAGAAAGAAAATGGAATTACGTTACTAGATATCAATATGCAAATTTTTTCGCGCTATGAATGAGCACATGATATACACCCGGGCGGATGGGCGAGGAGACGTGAGCCCGCAGGATGTGAATGTCACAGAAAAAGGTAGAAAAGAAGCGGAACTTTTGGATGTGAGGATTTGACATGCTCTTGTCATCATTTGTCTCTCGAGTGTCGCGATCTGATTCGTTATATTTAGCATTTAGATAGACTAAAGAGGATCGTGTTTCGCCTAGCATTGTTTTCTTGGTCTTAAGTGTCCCTGCCTAAGATGTCAGCACAATGGGACGAGTCTTGTTGTTGTTGTTGTTGTTGTAGTTGTAGTTGTAGTTGTTGTTGTTCTTGTTGTTTTTCGGTTGTATCATATTTTTTAAAAACAATGTGCGTGATATATATTGTTTTCCGCGCGCATTCATGTGAGCATATGTAATGTACGATATGTTAAAAATGATCTACGTTATTATAATTATTGTTGTTATTATTATTATTATTATTATTATTATTATTATTATTATTATTAT